GTGCGTGCGTGCGTGCGTGCGTGCGTGCGTGCGTGCGTGCGTGCGTGCGTGCGTGCGTGCGTGCGTGCGTGCGTGCGTGCGTGCGTGCGTGCGTGCGTGCGTGCGTGCGTGCGTGCGTGCGTGCGTGCGTGCGTGCGTGCGTGCGTGCGTGCGTGCGTGCGTGCGTGCGTGCGTGCGTGCGTGCGTGCGTGCGTGCGTGCGTGCGTGCGTGCGTGCGTGCGTGCGTGCGTGCGTGCGTGCGTGCGTGCGTGCGTGCGTGCGTGCGTGCGTGCGTGCGTGCGTGCGTGCGTGCGTGCGTGCGTGCGTGCGTGCGTGCGTGCGTGCGTGTGCGTGCGTGCGTGCGTGCGTGCGTGCGTGCGTGCGTGCGTGCGTGCGTGCGTGCGTGCGTGCGTGCGTGCGTGCGTGCGTGCGTGCGTGCGTGCGTGCGTGCGTGCGTGCGTGCGTGCGTGCGTGCGTGCGTGCGTGCGTGCGTGCGTGCGTGCGTGCGTGCGTGCGTGCGTGCGTGCGTGCGTGCGTGCGTGCGTGCGTGCGTGCGTGCGTGCGTGCGTGCGTGCGTGCGTGCGTGCGTGCGTGCGTGCGTGCGTGCGTGCGTGCGTGCGTGCGTGCGTGCGTGCGTGCGTGCGTGCGTGCGTGCGTGCGTGCGTGCGTGCGTGCGTGCGTGCGTGCGTGCGTGCGTGCGTGCGTGCGTGCGTGCGTGCGTGCGTGCGTGCGTGCGTGCGTGCGTGCGTGCGTGCGTGCGTGCGTGCGTGCGTGCGTGCGTGCGTGCGTGCGTGCGTGCGTGCGTGCGTGCGTGCGTGCGTGCGTGCGTGCGTGCGTGCGTGCGTGCGTGCGTGCGTGCGTGCGTGCGTGCGTGCGTGCGTGCGTGCGTGCGTGCGTGCGTGCGTGCGTGCGTGCGTGCGTGCGTGCGTGCGTGCGTGCGTGCGTGCGTGCGTGCGTGCGTGCGTGCGTGCGTGCGTGCGTGCGTGCGTGCGTGCGTGCGTGCGTGCGTGCGTGCGTGCGTGCGTGCGTGCGTGCGTGCGTGCGTGCGTGCGTGCGTGCGTGCGTGCGTGCGTGCGTGCGTGCGTGCGTGCGTGCGTGCGTGCGTGCGTGCGTGCGTGCGTGCGTGCGTGCGTGCGTGCGTGCGTGCGTGCGTGCGTGCGTGCGTGCGTGCGTGCGTGCGTGCGTGCGTGCGTGCGTGCGTGCGTGCGTGCGTGCGTGCGTGCGTGCGTGCGTGCGTGCGTGCGTGCGTGCGTGCGTGCGTGCGTGCGTGCGTGCGTGCGTGCGTGCGTGCGTGCGTGCGTGCGTGCGTGTGCGTGCGTGCGTGCGTGCGTGCGTGCGTGCGTGCGTGCGTGCGTGCGTGCGTGCCGGTGCGTGCGTGCGGCGTGCGTGCGTGCGTGCGTGCGTGCGTGGTGCGTGCGTGCGTGCGTGCGTGCGTGCGTGCGTGCGTGCGTGCGTGCGTGCGTGCGTGCGTGCGTGCGTGCGTGCGGGCGTGCGTGCGTGCGTGCGTGCGTGCGTGCGTGCGTGCGTGCGTGCGTGCGTGCGTGCGTGCGTGCGTGCGTGCGTGCGTGCGTGCGTGCGTGCGTGCGTGCGTGCGTGCGTGCGGTAGTGCGGTGTCGTGGTGCGTGCGTGGTGCGTGCGTGCGTGCGTGCGTGCGTGCGTGCGTGCGTGCGGTGCGTGCGTGCGTGCGTGGGCGTGCGTGCGTGGTGCGTGCGTGCGTGCGTGCGTGCGTGCATGCGTGCGTGCGTGCGTGCGTGCTGCGTGCGTGCGTGCGTGCGTGCGTGCGTGCGTGCGTGCGTGCGTGCGTGCGTGCGTGCGTGCGTGCGTGCGTGCGTGCGTGCGTGCGTGCGTGCGTGCGTGCGTGCGTGCGTGCGTGCCGTGCGTGCGTGCGTGCGTGCGTGCTGCGTGCGTGCGTGCGTGCGTGCGTGCGTGCGTGCGTGCGTGCGTGCGTGCGTGCGTGCGTGCGTGCGTGCGTGCGTGCGTGCGTGCGTGCGTGCGTGCGTGCGTGCGTGCGTGCGTGCGTGCGTGCGTGCGTGCGTGCGTGCGTGCGTGCGTGCGTGCGTGCGTGCGTGCGTGCGTGCGTGCGTGCGTGCGTGTGCGTGCGTGCGTGCGTGCGTGCGTGCGTGCGTGCGTGCGTGCGTGCGTGCGTGCGTGCGTGCGGTGCGTGCGTGCGTGCGTGCGTGCGTGCGTGCGTGCGTGCGTGCGTGCGTGCGTGCGTGCGTGCGTGCGTGCGTGCGTGCGTGCGTGCGTGCGTGCGTGCGTGCGTGCGTGCGTGCGTGCGTGCGTGCGTGCGTGCGTGCGTGCGTGCGTGCGTGCGTGCGTGCGTGCGTGCGTGCGTGCGTGCGTGCGTGCGTGCGTGCGTGCGTGCGTGCGTGCGTGCGTGCGTGCGTGCGTGCGTGCGTGCGTGCGTGTGCGTGCGTGCGTGCGTGCGTGCGTGCGTGCGTGCGTGCGTGCGTGCGTGCGTGCGTGCGTGCGTGCGTGCGTGCGTGCGTGCGTGCGTGCGTGCGTGCGTGCGTGCGTGCGTGCGTGCGTGCGTGCGTGCGTGCGTGCGTGCGTGCGTGCGTGCGTGCGTGCGTGCGTGCGTGCGTGCGTGCGTGCGTGCGTGCGTGCGTGCGTGCGTGCGTGCGTGCGTGCGTGCGTGCGTGCGTGCGTGCGTGCGTGCGTGCGTGCGTGCGTGCGTGCGTGCGTGCGTGCGTGCGTGCGTGCGTGCGTGCGTGCGTGCGTGCGTGCGTGCGTGCGTGCGTGCGTGCGTGCGTGCGTGCGTGCGTGCGTGCGTGCGTGCGTGCGTGCGTGCGTGCGTGCGTGCGTGCGTGCGTGCGTGCGTGCGTGCGTGCGTGCGTGCGTGCGTGCGTGCGTGCGTGCGTGCGTGCGTGCGTGCGTGCGTGCGTGCGTGCGTGCGTGCGTGCGTGCGTGCGTGCGTGCGTGCGTGCGTGCGTGCGTGCGTGCGTGCGTGCGTGCGTGCGTGCGTGCGTGCGTGCGTGCGTGCGTGCGTGCGTGCGTGCGTGCGTGCGTGCGTGCGTGCGTGCGTGCGTGCGTGCGTGCGTGCGTGCGTGCGTGCGTGCGTGCGTGCGTGCGTGCGTGCGTGCGTGCGTGCGTGCGTGCGTGCGTGCGTGCGTGCGTGCGTGCGTGCGTGCGTGCGTGCGTGCGTGCGTGCGTGCGTGCGTGCGTGCGTGCGTGCGTGCGTGCGTGCGTGCGTGCGTGCGTGCGTGCGTGCGTGCGTGCGTGCGTGCGTGCGTGCGTGCGTGCGTGCGTGCGTGCGTGCGTGCGTGCGTGCGTGCGTGGTGCGTGCGTGCTGCGTGCGTGCGTGCGTGCGTGCGTGCGTGCGTGCGTGCGGCGGTGCGTGCGTGCCGTGCGTGCGTGCGTGCGTGCCGCGTGCGTGCGTGCGTGCGTGCGTGCGTGCGTCGTGCGTGCGTGCGTGCGTGCGGGCGTGGGTTGTGTGTGTGTGTGTGGTGTGTGTGTGTGTGTGTGTGTGTTGTGTGTGTGTGTGTGTGTGTGTGTGTGTGTGTGTGTGTGTGTTGCTACAACATGACCATATTGGCAGAGGTAGTTGCGTGATGAAAGGGGTAACTCAACTCACAATTCCTTTAGAGAAACGAGCTTGGAGAAGGTCGATGGGAGTGAGCACGATAGAGAGTTGGAGTCTATATAGCTGAGTGGGAAGGGATGGGGCGTGGGGAGGGAGCGGACAGCACGGGTGGCGAGGGAGAGAGTGCGAGAGAGTGAGAAAGGTGAATAGAAGAGGCGCCAAGGGACACAGGAGGGTGACGGGATGCGTGTGTGAGTGAACACTGGAGGATGAAAGGGAGGTGGGGCCGTGGGTGAAGCGGCGACGTTATGACGATTCAAGCTGCACCAAGGCAAAGAAGACTCAAGCCTTTCCAGTCTCACTGATTTTCCTTTACGTTTTCCTTCCGTCGCACACTCCAGAACAGATATGAGCAATGTGCGATCGCGCGAATAATACCCCCAACCCAACCCCCTCCTCCCCCCACCCCTGTGTGTGACCGAAACTTACAACATACTAAACGGCTGTCTGACATGCTATCGTTTTATCAGCCAGAATCGTTCGTAACTGCCATAAACAGTCCTCTTGCCACCACCCTCTTCTCGCTATCAACTCCCCACTCCGTTCACATCATTCGCATCCTTTGCCTTGCCTTGACTTCATCTAGACCTGCCTCGACTCCCTGAGTCTCTGTCACGCACGCCCACACCAGGTTGAGCCATCTCAGTGGACGCGAAAGACATTCAACTCGGTGTCGCATTGCTCCTGCTACTTGCCCCGGGCGTGGTCCTAAGACACAGTTGAGCTAGCGTGGCTCGTGACAAGTCTGCCCGCATGAGATAGCATGTAAAGCTCGCACGCGAAGCCTGGTTCGTGAGCGTGGCGGCTTAAGAAAGACGGCATCAGAAAGGGCATGGTCTGTCTAAGATTAATTTAAGAGCCAAACTTATTACATATGATCGTAAGTGCGTGGGTGTTTGGTCTAGTGGCATGATTCTCGCTTAGGGTGCGAGAGGTCCCGAGTTCAATTCTCGGAACACCCCTATTTGTTGTTTTGGGCTGGGACAAGATCATTGCTCGCCTGTCTCGCTGCTCGCTTATAAAAAGCATCACACTCACCACCTACTATCCAGGAGCAACAACATTTCTTTTCTAGTTCACACATTAAACTCCCTTAGAAAAAGCATCACACTCTCCTTTCCATTGCATCAGCTCAACGGAAGAAAAAAAAGAAAAAAGCACGGCTCAAGATTAACGTGTACCTTAGTCGTCTGTTTCGGCCACGCTGTAATATAGCAAAAACGGCTTCATAACAAGAACTCCCTTCAACCTATCCCTTCCTTCCCCCTTCTTTTCGTCTCTCCTACTTGCTTAAAATTCACCATGCGGTTACTTTAGAGCGACGAGGTTTGAAGCAGTGTAGAACGGCCTGACTGTAGGTGGAAAATCGCCTTGCAACCATTAAGGGAAGATGTGAAGGAGATGCTGCTGGTTGGAGAGGAACGTGTCCCGACGATGCTCAATAAGCCACCCAGAAGGTCTCGTAGCTGTGCCACGGGGGGGGGGGGGGGGGGGGGGGGGGGGGGGGGGGGGGCGAGAACTGTGGGGTGGCATAGAGAGCAGGAGTTGTTTCCTTACGCAGTGTCGTCAAATTTGTTTTTTCCCTCTAAAACAGCTACCGTACTGGTACTTTGGAGACGAAAACAGCAATGAGTAGATCAGGTCGTGGCTGCACATCGGAGATAGGAAAAAACCCACAACTCTCAAAGGATGCTGTGCCAGCCGGGAATCAAACCCGGGTCTGCACCAAGCTCATGGCAGGGTGCTATTCTACCTCTTTATTGACAGTGTAGTAAATGTACAATGTATAGAAGGCAAATCCAGACACCTAGTGCATGGAAAGACATGAGTTATCACCCCTTTCACTAGAAACACTACTGTAACCTAGCCGACGGAAAAATACAGAAAACAAATTAGTTGCCTGCCTACAGTCACCTCTGACTAGAGTACGGGTGCCAAACGTCCGATTAACACACGAGAATTATGACCATCGACTCAGATCAAATTGCCTCAAACCTACACAGTTGCCCACTTGAGACCTACCCACTCTAACCATTCGACTCAACTGCTGCTCACGTCAAAGAGAGGGGCAGGAGGTGAGACGTAGGGACATAAAGAAAGGGTTAAGGAGTTCGTACAAGTATTGAAGATTGACGAAGACACCAATGGTGCCGGGAAGCGAGCCTGTAAGTCTTCTGTTAGTTAAGTCTCTGATCAAATCAAACGGGCATCCACCACACAGTGCAATGCAGGCACAAATAGGGGAAGGTCCGCGGGTGAGGCTGCAGGATAGGAGGTGCTGAATGACTGAAACGGGCCGGCATACCAACGAGTAGCCATCATTTATGCATGCAATGCAACTCATGCCTGTGCGCCGTTCCAGTTCATACAATCTGGAACGAGCGCCTCATGCCAATAGCGCCTCCTGCCAAGAGCTGTCGTGTCAACAATGCTCCGCACTCACAGTTGTGTCACGAAGCCAGCAGCGTTGCAGTGGACGTTATTGTAATTGCTGCAGTCAGCGTCCTCCACCCACGTGTCGGTAATGCTCGGAGTTATACTGCTCCACTGCGCCTTCATGTCTCGCAGCCCTGGCCCTGTGTGGCGCAGCAATGGGGCCGGCAAAGGCAGGGGCAGTGAGATGTGAGGGACAAGGGACGCTTGTGGTGAGATTCCAGCACATGGGGGGGAAAGAGGGTGCACTGCAGCCCACACAGTTACACACACACACACACACTCACACACACACACACACACTCACATACACACACTCACACACGCACACTTACGCACGCACACGCACACACACACACACACACACACACGTGCCCGCACCCTCCCACACTCCCGCAACCACACGCTCACACTGGGTGGGGTCAAGGGGAACAGCGTGCGCCATCATGATGGGGAGGAAGCCACGGCTGCAGCCGCTGCTGCGCCAGAAGCAGCGCTGCGCCCAACCGCCCTTCGTGAGGCCCTCGTCGCTCCCCACCATCGTCATCACCGCCACCACGCCCATCACAGCCACCCTCTCAACCAACCCCCTGCCATCGCTCCTCGCCATCACTCGCCGCCTCCCTCTCGCCTCCCCAAATCCTCCCGCCGCTTTCAACGGCCTCCTCGCCCTCGCGCTCGCGCTGGTGGCGGCGGCAGCACTGACGGCGCGGGCGAAGGGTGCGGTGGGGCCTTCGCTGGGAGAGCCTGCGACAGCGAGGGGCAAGGAGAAAGATGCGAGGAGCGAGTCAAGATGGAGCGCCGCCGCACCATTGTGCTGCACGGCCGTGAGCGGCGGGCTTGACGCCGCGCGCACCCGCCAACTCAGCAGGGACGATGGGATCATGGGAGGTACTGGTAGTCGCGCCGCGCCGCGCGGGCGTTAGTACTGCCCTACGGGGCGTTGGGAGGAAGGGGGAAAGGAGCTTCGCGAGCGCGCGCATGCGTACCCTCCCAGATTCTCTAGAATTCCATGCGTGTATACAAACGACGAAGCTTCGAAGCGCTAGACGCGTTCCGAATCCATACCCGTCACAAACTTCGTGTCAGCGCACCTAAAGGCGCCCAATAACGTACTCCAATTCACCGATATGATAAGGTAGTAATTGCACAGATATAAGACTCGCTCACCGATAAGCGACTCGGAGTGGCCCCCAGAGCGGCGCGTACTGCATGGAAGGGAGAAGACTGTCCTATCGCTTGCTGTGCTGTCTACTAGACATTAGTAATGTGGATGACAGTGCAGCAGTTTATTTGACTCGTCCTGTGGAACCATGTCCTTAACTCCAGGAATCCTTGCCCTAACCTCCAGGAATTCATGGCCAGAATTGGGAGTAGGGATTTTCAAACCCATGATTTGGGACGCATCCCAGGATCCAAACGGCCCCACGGCACTGGCACCTGGCCCCGCTTCCATACAGCCAGATGAGACGACGCTCTGCTGTGGCAAAGAGAAGTCGCATCGCACAGTAGCGCTAAGGTGCGTGTGGATTGCAGCAGGCTCAGGCATCGGCAAGGCAGCGTAGGCCAGTGTGGTCGGTTTGGCCTGGGACGGCCTGTGATAACTTATCCCACAAGACTTGATGTTCAACGGTCGGAACGGTTGCGGCCGTACCGTATCACACCTTTCTTACAACCATAAGAAGCGTAGAATTACAGAACATATATTATAATAAGCTAACAGTTGTGAAATCCGTCCATGGACATTGCCCAAGTACCATGCTTCAACATAGCTTTCCACCATAACAGATTTTATATAATTATTTACCTATCCACCACCCTACCCACCAACATGTCCACTTCTGGCAAGCTACCTACCTACCCTTGCATAAGCTACTCAAGGTTTGTCAATCACAGTAAGGGGAGGTCTTTTATCCAGGGAATTACCAGTCCTTTTTGTTTCCTTGCGGGGTTACCTATGCAGCTTCAGTAGTTACGAACCATGTGGTTTGTGATTTGAATGAGCCCATTCAAATTAGACACTGACAACCACATCACTGTACAAGGATTCAAGACAGCAGCTCTGGAGTCACACCCAACCCACGCCCTTCTCCAGGCATTCCACCTCACCCTCTCAACCCCACACAGGCCATTGTACTTTGAGCCAGGAAAACCGTCCCTTCCCTTGCCTCTTTCCATGCCGTGCCTTCCCACTCTCCCTTTCCGCCCCAGTACTGCGACTAGTGCTGCTCTCAGCCTGTCCTGAACCAGGCGATACCCTTGCTGATCCTCCCCTTCCTTGCTCGCTCAACACAACGCCGTTGAGACCCTCCTTGCTGTGTGCACGTTCCCCCTCGTGTGTTTTCTCGCCACATTCTGAGTGATCCGCTTCTTTTACCACTTCTAACTTCAGCGGTGCATCCTTGCACTCGTGAATGGCAACTACATCTACACCACTCCCACTGTTACCGGCACTGCAGTCACGCACCCCATCAGTAGAAGCATCAGTTGATCGCTCATCATCGCATCCTCGGTTTTCCCTCGCAACCATCGCCTTCGATTTTACAGAACACATTTCGCCATCCACGCGAGTCGCCCCGTCGCCTGTTTCGACACCCGCCACCATGCCACACCCCTCGCTCCCCATCTCCGCCTGAATCGACCGTTGCAGCATCAAGGACACATCAGCATCGCCACTCGATGACGCAATCGCTGGGCCGTCGTCAGTGCGACGATCGTCGCCATCACTGCGACCTGTACGACCATCACCGCGACCTGTGCGACAATCACTGGGTTCCGTCGGTACAACCTGCGAACCATCTCCCACGACTGGAGCCGTCGTCGCCCTCCGGTCAACCTCAGTGCCTGATACGGTCCCCCTCAGCTGCGACACCTCTCCGCCAATCGCGACGCCGCATATCGGATCCAATCTCCGAACCTCCTCTCCCTTCGCGGCGCTACGTTCTCCTGAGAAGCCTGCGTTTTTCAACCCCGGCTCGGCTCCCTCGTTTCGCGATCCGTCGCACGCATCGAGTCCCTGTGCGACTTCATCCGCCGTCATTCGCGCGCTTGCCGCCCAGTCGCTCAGCACCTGTTCAAACCGCGACCGCGACGAACGCAGTCGCAGTGACGTCGTCGCAGGCGTCGCCGGAGGCGTCGCACGCGACTGCGACGCTCCGACTTCGCGAACTTTCGCGTTCGCGAAAGGCGAGACATCCCTCGACTTGCCGCTCTCCGAGGTTACCAGGGTGCAACCCTGGGGCTCTCCAGTTAACCCTCCTCTCGCGTTCATCGTCCCAGGAATATCCACTTGTGCTTTCTCCTTCCTCTCGTCTTCCTCCCCCATGTCACCCAGCGAGGAAACCACCTCGTCAAGCCTAAAACCCTCCCCTTCGTCCTCACCTCGCTCCTCTCCCCTTTCTTCCTCTTCCCCCTCCTCCCCCTCCTCGTCGTCGCCTTCGTCGACCAGCCCTGCCTGCGGTCGCCCGCAGCAGAGCGCCTGCCCGTGAAGCTGCAGCACGACCAGATTAGCGTCGCCCAAGAATCGCATCATGTGCTGCCGCCGGAAAGACGCTAGCGCCTTGCGCTCCCCCGACGCCCCTTGCGACCCCCCGCGCGCGGACCCCAGGGTGCGCAGGTCTACCAGTCCGCCTAGACACGCCCCGCTGGCGGAAGCGCCCCTCGCGCTTGCTCGTTTGCTTGGGCCTTTCGCAACAGCGTCACTTCCTTTCCCGCGCACCGCCGAAGTTTCCAAAAACGGCGCGGCAGCCCCGGCGGTGCCTGACGCGTGGGGCACATCGCGCTCGCCGGTTGTAAGTTCACCAGCGGGCCTGGCGGGCTTGGAGCGATCGAAACTGCTGGGATTGGGATGGACTCTCGGGCGATGGTCCTGCTGGCTCCGCGCAACTGGCCCTCCGCTGCAGGCCTCCTCGCGCTCCCCGCGACGGCCGCGCGCGACGGTTTCACCGGCTGGTCTCGCCGGCTCGCGCACGCGGCTCTTTCTGGGCTGCACATCTGGCGCGCCGCTGTGCGCACTGGGTCGAAACCAGCGAGGCCCGGTGGCCCACATGACGAGTCTGAAGCTTCCTCAAACAGGGAAGGGAAAAATGACCGCAAACAGAGATATCGATGAATTGGCTGGTAAACAGAATAGTTGAAATAAGCCTCCAATCGTGCTGGCGATAGTGTGTGCGGTTGTGCTAATTGGCCTGAACAGAGGCGGTTTTGATTTGATGGGACTGCTCGGGAGGGACTTGTGCTTGCAGTGTAGAAACAGCAAGGCGTAAATGTCGAGATCAGCTTGGCTGACAGCTTGGATCTTCACGCGGCAGTTTCTTGTTGCCTGCCCATCGACTCTCTTCGACATGGAAAGATGTGTTCTACACTCCAGCTGGTACGCCGCCGCGTGTACTGTTACTCGGCTAGGGCACGGCGATTTCTTCAAAATCAGCCACGGAAGTTCTGGCAGGGCACGTCGTGGCTTGGCGGCTATTGGAAGAGCGATCTGCGGCATCTGCGTGTGCTGTCAAGGTTTGCTGTTTGCCACGAAAGGAGAAGGAATTGGAGCCGTCCGATACTACCATGCCCAACAATCGTCCCCACGATTGGAATCAAAAACTCCTCGCCGCTTGGGTCCCGCGCCGCCGTACACAGATCAGCGCGCGGTCAGGAGGAGCCACTGCGCCACAGACCCCGCCCAAACCCTGGTTCGGCTGGGAAGTGCGCAAAAAGCATCCCATCCACTGCAAAAAAAGCAGCCACGTCCATCCGGACGATTGCGCTGCGCCACACGCCTCTGGAGCAAGGGAGGAACTGGATGAGGCCGCAGCGCCACAACGAATAGCGTCCAAGAAGCAGCCAAGTAGGCGAATCCAAGTCAGCGACTGATTTGTACGGTTACGATCAACTCTCTTGGCCCGAAACAGCGTATCCTTCGTTAGAAGATACTGGACATGTAGCTTCATATCGATTATTAGAGAATAATAAGTCCCATTTGCAACAAAGAGCCAAACTTAAACTAATGGAATGGAAATCAGGGGATAGCGTTTATACCATAGGTTAGCATTGAGCGTCCAAATGTGAGATCAAATACATTTCATTCCTTGGCAAATGACACAGTTTCATGTCAATCCGTATTGTGATGCATGCTTGTTGGAGATATACCGTAAGCATAAAATTATGAGTTTCTTGTTGGGCTGAACGCGCTAGGATCTTTAGTAGAGTTAAAGTCTGAGTAAATGATGTAGTAGCGGAAGCGTTTGAATAAATTCCTTGAACCACCTTGCGCTAGTATGTGAGGGCAAAGTAAGTTAATTAAAGCAAAGAGATACAGAAATATATATATGTATATGAGTACAGAGAATATGAAGAGACATAATTGCAACTGTTTTACTGTTGCGGTTCGATACAGTGCGACTCGGGCTGTCACAACATTAAAGCTTATGCTTTTGTGTAGGCTGTAGTGGGGTAGCCCATATGGGATACAACCCAATTATGGTTAGTACTTGTACCCAACTATTTCATAGTTCTTTCATTCTCGTTCACATTTTCTCATAGTATCGAGCAGGTTCCCCCGTGGGAACTGTGCCTAGGGCCCACGACATCGACCTTTTTTTTCCTGCCCGAAGCGCGCTCCGCCCGAGTCGCACTTCGTCGAGCCGCCCTAGCGGCCCTTTCCCCTAGCGGCCCCGCCGCACGTCGCCTCGGCCCCGCCGCCCGTCGCTTCGGTCCCGCCGCCCGTCGTCGCGGCCCCGCCGCCCTACCTCGCGGCCCCGCCGCCCTACCTCGCGGCCCCGCCGCCCTACCTCGCGGCCCCGCCGCCCTACCTCGCGACCCCGCCGCCCTACCTCGCGGCCCCGTCGCCCTACCTCGCGGCCCCGCCGCCCTCCTCAGCGGCCTCGCCGCCCTTCTGCACCGGCCCTGCCGCCCTACTCCTACGGACCCGCCGCCCTACTCCTGCGGCCCCGCCGCCCTACTCCTGCGGCCCTGCCGCCCTACTCCTGCGGCCCCGCCGCCCTACTCCTGCGGCCCCGCCGCCCTACTCCTACGGCCCCGCCGCCCTACTCCTGCGGCCCCGCCGCCCTACTCAGCGGCCCCGCCACCGTTCACCAGCGGCCCTGCCGCCCTACACCGCCCGCGCCGCCCGAGCTGCCAGAACAGCCCGAGCCGCCCGAGCCGCCCGAGCCGCCCGAGACACCCGAGCCGCCCGAGTCGCACGAGCCGCCCGAGCCGCCTGAGCCACCCGAGCCGCCTGAGCCGCCCGAGCCGCCCGAGCCGCCCGAGCCGCCTGATCAGCCGAGTCGCCGGTGCCGCGGAGCCGCAGTCGCTACTGAGCCGTCCGAGCACCCGTGTTGCCGTGTTACTGCACTACTGAGCTGCCCGACTTGCCCTGTCTGGTGAGACCAACGCTTCTGTCACTGCACTGCCCCTGTCCTACTGTTGGTCTCGCTAGTCTACTGCTGTCATGGCTTCCCCTAG